CCTGCACTTCTAGCCCGTTTTCATGATATATGTTGACGATAACAGTAAAGGATGTAATTTTCTTATAATTAAATCCACTCCTACCTGTTTACGCCTCTGGATTATGTCAGGGCTTGCCAATTTACAGTTTTCAAAATGATGTCCTCCATCGTATTCTGACTGGATCAATCACATTTTTGTTATTGCATTCAACACGGTTGAGTTGGTTTGTAAATCCAGTTCCAATCGCTTGCTAAGCACGTTCTCTGCATTTGTATGACGGATACAAAGATCATTAAGATGATTCGTGCTGCAACCCAAACGGCTCAGGGATTATTCACATCCAGAACGGACTAGTGATATTAGCACATATAGGTGGTTCAAACAGACAAGGGACCAATGCACTAGGACGATGAGGAAAGACAAGCTTCACTACCAGATAACGCAAATCGACAAATTTGTTCCCATTCTGAAAATCTTATTTATCATACAGCCTCTTTTCACTAAACCAAAACCGGGGTTTCCCAATTGCAAGGTTTCGATGGCTCAACCAGTGACGATGGTGACATCTCTAACCATCTAATAGAAGGGTATTTTCAAACATTTCAACCGTCTTGTACCCTCTCTATCGACGAGAAATTCACCTGCGACCCAACAGAACTCTCAGAAGTGGACCTGAGTGCTGACTTGGTGTATCAGAACCTGCATCACATAAACAAGGACACTTTTCCTGGCCCAAGCATGGTTCGTTCCACTGTACTATGGGAAGCGTCTAAAATCTCGGCAGAACCACTTAGTGCGACGTCATGTCATGCCGAGACGTGATACTGGAGAAATGGATGACGGCCTAGCCGACACAGAGAACATTCAAGCTAGTGTTATATAGAACCTTTGGAACGTATCTAAAGAGGAGCCACGAAATTAGTTCGGGGATCAAATTCAAGCTCTATGTAGAAGGTCTCAAATCATCCACTAGAGTATAGGCGTCTTTAAAGTGACCTTCTAGTGACTTAGAGAAGGTTGAACACTTATGGACATCCCCTTAAATACCTACTTCATCTCAGGCCCAATCAAACTTAGGGGTAACAACCTGAAACCGGAACAGAATTTGGGCACACCTTCTACTCCTTAAAAGTAGTCAAATGCCGGAATTCGCTACCGGTTGAGACAGTTCGAATGACTTCCACGGAGTCCTTCAAAGGAAAACCTGACATATTCTTAAGGACTAAGGACAGTATCTTGCCATAATCTATCAATGTTTTTCCCCTTTCATCACTAAATATACCTAGGTTCTTACCTGGCAACATCGGTGATTCACTGTCAGAAGATATAGAAGCCCACACAGTGAGAGCTCCTTCTATTCCGTTCAAAGTCAGTTGAACCATTTTGAACCTGGCTTGTAAGTTTTGAAGAAAGTGTAGCTTATAATATTGTAGTGTGGCGTCGAGTCGCGGTTGAATACGATCACCACTACAAGAAGGTTGCGTACAAGATATCAGAAGGCGATTGGAGGTTGTAGCGAGATATATCTGTTGGCGATCTCGTGGTATCGAAAGAATATCGAGATCGTGCCAAAAGAGTACAAGCGGAATCACTGAGCACACGTAAGAACGTGCAAGGTCACGATCAACGGAAGGAAGAATGTCTTTAATACAGTCAAACAAACAAGTACGGTAAAACAATCACTGGTACAATTGGTTATAATAATAATTGTTTCCATTAAGCCAATCGCGTTCTCTTGATAAAAGTAGATCTCTACAATATCTTCAGGCATCAGCTTGTTGAGTGCAGATTTACTGAAGACAACCCCTGATTCTCTTTCGTTTCGATAAGGACAGGTTTATGGTTTGATAATTTAAGCTGAAAGTTAATAAACCAAGATTTTGAATGCTTACATTGTACTCTCTTGGGTTGGAGGCGAGACCCAACCAAGAAGAATCCTGAAGCTGGTTCTCGGGAGTTTCGAAGAAAGAGACATATTATTGAAAAGCGCACAAAAAACTCGTGCCTCAAATATCCGTATTCGACCAGATTGGCCGCTTGAGGATCGAATCAAGTGGAAGAATGCTCTTACGGAGTTGAGGACTCGCAAATTAAATGGCGAAAATAACCTTACCATTAAGGGTTTTCGGGTAGTCAGGTCTTGGAAGCCAATGCTTCCGAGGCCTGTATGGGTAGAACGATTGATTTCCAAAACACCTTAAGTGTGTGCTACACGAACGCTCGTAGTCTTAGAAATAAAACGTCCGAGCTAAGTCTGATGGTGCAAGAATTATGTCCCGATATAATCGTTGTTACAGAAACTTGGTTCACCGTTGATATAGACTGTTCTCCTTTCATTGCTGGTTATATCTGTATCAGAAGTGATAGAGTTTCAAGTCGCAAGGGGGAGGTATAATATTTTACGTTAGGGATCACTTTCGTATACAATCAACCATATCGGAGGCTCATATCAGTGGCACATGTGAGGTTGCATGTTGTAAGATTAAATCTAGAAATGGGTTAGTGACTATAGGGGGAATATACCGTAGTCCGTCTTGTCTGGCTGACGACTTTATCCTAAGACACATCTGTTCTTGGAGTATGGCAGAATGTTGTCTCATCATTGGGGACTTCAACGCACCGCATATCAACTGGATAGAGCTTACAGCTCCAGGTAGCGGTTTCGATAGCGACCTTTTATCTACCGTTATTCAGTGTGCACTTGTACAATGTATCACAAAACCGACACATATTGATTTGCATCATGTTCCGTCACTGCTGGACCTCGCCCTCACCCACCACTCTGAGGATGTCTTTGATATCCAGCACCTTCCTCCACTAGTGAACAGTGATCACGTTGTAATTCACTTTAAGTTTAGGACACATGGTATACAATTCGTATCTGCTCCACCCCGTCCCAATATCTGGCGAGCTAATATTCCGGAAATCAGAAACCGTGCTATCTCGAACGATTGGTCGGTCGACGCGGATGGATTGATCGAAGATGAATGGAATAAGTTTAAGGCTACATTCGAGTCCGTAACGTCGCCGTTTATCCCATGGTCAGCACGTAAGCTATCACATTGCCCTCCATGGATTAATAAGGAAACCCGGAAGCTGTTAAAGCGTAGGAAACATTTCTGGGACTTATTCTTGTTGACAGGTCATGCACCATTTAAGCGTGAGTATCAAAAATACCGTAATATCTGTAAGAAAACCATAGCGAAATCCCGTACCACTTACGAACGACAGTTAGTATATGATAGCCGTACTTGTCCGAAACGATTGTTTTCGTATGTTAAACGGCAAATGAAACGTAGTGATGGTATTCCCCCGTTGCTGTTACACGAAAATTCAGAATTACTAGCTGAATCAGATCGAGCAAAAGCTGAGACTTTTTCAGATTATTTTAGCGAAGTCTTCTCTACGTTTATTGTAACAAATACTTGTCCCACTCACACCGAGATACCAACCATTGAATCCGTACAGGTGACTGAGGAAACTGTCCTTCCGTTGATAACTAACCTCAAACCTGGTAAGATACCGGGCCCTGACGGGTTACATCCACGGTTGCTGTCATCTCTTGCGGACATTATTTCAAAACCGCTTGCGACACTCTTCAACATGTCCCTCTCACTCGCCCAACTCCCTAGAGATTGGAAGGACGCTATAGTTAGTCCTATATTTAAGGACGGTCAGCGACAGATAGTATCTAACTACCGGCCTGTCAGTCTAACTAGCATAGTCGTTAAGTTACTCGAAAAGATAATTCGGGTTAGGTTGCTAAGCCACATAGATTTACACAATCTGTTAGCTCCTGAGCAACACGGATTTCGTAACAAGCGTTCATGCTTGACTAACTTGCTTATTGCGAGGGAGGATTGGACAGCAGCCCTAGATCACGGTCTGTCTGTCGACGTGATATTCATAGATTTTAGCAAAGCGTTTGACAAGGTTTCACACGTAGGTCTTATGCAGAAGCTCACGAGCTTCGGAATAATAGGTACTGTACATGAGTGGATAGGAAATTTCTTATGTGACCGCAGACAGAGAGTTAGGGTCAATGGAACGCTATCCGATTGGAAGCCGGTCAAAAGTGGTGTACCCCAAGGCACCATCTTAGGCCCTCTGCTCTTCCTTCTCTACGTTAATGAGTTACCACTGTTACTTAGGTCGTCGACATTATTGTTTGCAGATGATGTAAAAATCTGGAGAACAATAAAAAGTGCGGCTGATCATGTGGATCTTCAAGCTGATTTAGACGATTTAGTTAGATGGGCTCGAGAGTGGGGCTTAGAAATTAATGCTAGGAAGAGTGTACTAATGCACGTCGGTCACGGTAATAGTTACCGTTACACTATTGAGGGTAAACCTCTTCCATGCGTTCAAGAGCATAAGGACTTAGGAGTAATATTAAGTCATGACTTAAAAACAACTGCGCATTGCAAAGCAGCCGCTGTCAAAGGTTTTCGTGCGTTATGGTCACTTCGCCGAGCGTTCAAATCTTTTGACGAGGAAACGTTTCGAATTTTATACCCCATATATGTTAGACCACATTTAGAGTACTGTATCCAAGCAGCTAGCCCGTGTCTAGTAAAGGATACTAACTCCCTTGAGCGTGTCCAGCGTGTGGGAACGAAATTAGTGAAGGGTCTTTCTAGTCTCCCTTACGATGAGCGCTTAAAACGCCTAAATCTTTTCCCCTTGTCGTATCGTAGGACACGAGGTGACCTTATACTGGCATTTCGTATCTTTAATTATGATTTGGGTGTTAATATGTCTTATCTTTTTGCTCCCTCCAGCACTAATAATCTCCGAGGTCATAGCAAGAAGGTTCATAAACCACGATCTAATAAACTTAAAGTGGGATCCCGTTTTTCTCATCGAGTAGTCAATCATTGGAACGCCTTACCCGAACAAGTGGTATCAGCCCCATCAGTGAATACTTTCAAGGAAAAGCTGGACCTTCACTGGAAAGCAATGTGTCAGGATTAACACAGGTTCATCAACCTACTATCCTTATTACTGAAGACTGAAGACTGTAGGACATACGCGCTTCCAACAAATTTAACATTGTCAAGGTCATCCCTCAGCTGGAACGTCCTACAAGAGGGGGTATTATTATCCGCTTCTCTCGGGCGATTTATCCTGATTTTCACTGAGACGTTGTCTGTTTGATTAAAACTATCTACAAAATTAAAGTTTCAACAATATTTTAAGGTACAGAGTTTTTGTGTAATTTCGACTTATAGCATCCTTAACACTTCTGGACATCCTCTTAAACACCTACTTAAGCTTAGTTCAAATAATAACCTAAGGGGTAACACCCAGAAACTGGAGACACAACATAGCGAAACGGTATTTAGACATAACTTCTTCTCCTTAAGAGCTGTCAAAAGCTGGAATTCGCTGTCGGCCGAGCTAGTCTAAGCGACTTCTCAGGAGTCCTTCAAGAGGCAACTTGACCTCTTCTTAAGGACCAAGGACAGCATCACACTATGATTTACCAATTTCTCTTCCTCTTTTATTGTTAACATACCTAGGTTCCTGCCTGGAGGATTTAGTGATCCCCTGCTACTAGACACGGAAGCCTGTTAAGCGAAAGCTTCTATTCCGTCCACAACCATTTGAACCATTCGACACAGGATTGAACTGTACTGTTCGGGTTGCGGTGTCGAAACCTGGGTAGTTTATGGTTCTGCTGAAAACCACTGGTAAATTACGCTGGCCTAAAAGGATATATTTGTACCATCGTGAGTTTGTGAGGGTGCTTTTGGAATATGGGGTTCAATCTGCTAGTCCTTGTTTCAAGTATACATATTTCATGCTTCAGGAAGCAGATACACCAGGACGAGTTCAGTGGCGAGTGACCGAGACGGTGAAAGAACTCTTCGGCCTATTATATTAAGACAAACTGAAACGCTCCAACCCACTTACATTGTTTTACCCCAGGTTACGGGGGTGATTCTAATCAACTCGTATTAATTATTACTGGCTTACCGTTTACTGGACGTTTATCTTGCAATTAATATGTCTTGTCTTTTCCTTCCATTTAGGAATGATTATATGAGGAGAAACTCCAGAAAATTTCAAAAACTGAGATCAAATATCTACGCCTGGAACTCCGTTTCTCGCGTCGAGCAGTGATTTGTTACAATCCTCTCACAGGACACGTAGTACCAACACCTTTTGATCCATTCAAAGCACGACCGGATCTCCACAGCACTACAAGCTACAAGAATTAATATAGGTCGGCTGACCTATTCTTACTACTGAAGACTAGTTATCACGTAAACCACTTCCACAAGACTCAGACTGCTAGTCCTTGGTAAGGCCTGTTCATCGGTATAACTTCTGTTTGTTACAAATTCGGTACTCCGCAGTTTCTTACATGTATACACACATTGCTGCCATGCAAATATAGTCGTAATATCTACCTTTTTAGCCTGGAAATCGTCATTTAAGCTGTCGAAAGCGGAATTACTACATTACTTAAATTAATGTGTTGATAGGCAGTGGTAATACATCTAACTTTTGAAGGATTATTCCAGTCATCTACAACAAGATATCAGGAACAGACTTTCAAGAGCAAGCAATCAAATATTGGTTTCCGGAATTTCGTAGGATTGTCCTGTCAGGAATTTAAACGTCAAGAGAACCTCCTTTGAAACGCATCTTCCAAAAGCCCCTTCTTGTTTTGCTCGGCTCAACCTGTACAGCTCGAAACATTTCCCCTCACTTAGGAAATTTCGGGAAAAAATTCACACTATTCAGGGATGCGTAAAAAGGAGACAATTGGATGCATTGTCACCTATATTCACACTGACTTTAAGGATTTTCTCTAGGATTTCCTCAAAGTTCGCCTTTGTTCTCCTTTTTTGTTTTCTTGAGGTGTTTAAAATTTTGGTTTTTATGATTTAAGACTATAAAACAGTTGGTACATATAGTTTGTTACTCTAGGTGGGATTATTCATAATCGATGATCAATACAAATGACCGCTGTATCTCATTTGAAGCTATATATATATATATAGTCAATGTCCTTAGTTTTCTCCTATTTGGAAAGTGTTAGATTTTACCATATTAAAAGATCCCACACAATCTCCTAATCTGTAAAAGCATCCATAGATTTTAACAACTTAGTTACTGCTTTTTAGCTTGTCCACTCTTCGAGAATAAGTAGTGCAAGATTCGTATGTGAAATTTTTGTCCTATCAACCCATTAACGAAATCCCATCAAACAGCTTTCTTGTTAATACACCTCATCTCTTTATCAAATAGCTGTGTGTTTGGACTTTTTTATGTTCTTTGTGTTCACATTATCAAATAAAATTATCTCAAGATACCAAATAGAGTTGATTTATTTGTACTGAAACACCAAATTACTTTCATTAGTTACAACGATTTTAGGCAAACCTCTTGCTCACCATCTAAAAGCTCGTAGGTCTCTTAGTTTGAGCACACTGCATTGGGGATGTTTGGATAATTTTATCATGTAAATTTACAAACTATAGTTTTTACTCCATCCTCTCCAGCTTTGCCTCACGTGACCTAGTATAGCGCCGTTGACGTGCAATTTAAAATACCTGACTTAAGAATCCATGCATCGTAGTTAGAAATTAGTAATTATTACGTTTGTTTAGTACGTTTTTGATCGCTGTTATCATAGTTAGTTTCAACAATACTACTAGTACGTATTCCCATGTACTAATATCTCCAAAAATGATTTTGCAGGAGAGATTACTGTCTACGAGAAGTCATCTTATTTAAGTGAAAAACCTGGGCGATATTGTGATTTCAAAAGATCATAGATGTTCTGCCCATGCATTTAACACACAATTTCATTACGTGTCGTTTTTCGGGTTACTTCATGTTTATAGTCAACTGGAGAGATAATACTTGAAACGTTTCCCGCGAGTAAATTGTCTGTAAAATTATTTATATCGAAGCATATAATTGTTATGTTCTTCTACCTAGTCTATTGTTCTCACTCATTTAAAGTTATGTCGCTAATGTATCGTAATGGAAGTGACTGCAACTAATAATTCATTCATGACCAGTAAACACTTTACTTTTATGATGAAACTCGGGCCGTTATAGCTATAATTTCCCTAAAATAATATTTGCAATTTTATTTCCCGTAATATTTTGCGAATTCCAAATGCTATGGTTTGTTTTTATGAATTTTTTAATCTGTTCGTTACTTTGTACCTTACATGTTAATCTCATGTATGTCTTTGCTCATGAGATTCATTTTCTATTTAATGATAGCTAAACATCACCTCAAAATAACGTACTTTAAAGAATGCCAGGCGGTTATATTCCCGGTCTTCCACCTATCTACCCTAATAGTTGGATCTCTTCAGGAATATCAAACATGTCTCACCTAGAACCTGCTGACTCAAATTGCACCTATGGAATTCACTGGATATGGGTTTCAATGGGACTGTGTGTTATGGATATTCAAGGTGGCATAGCCTTATTTTGTGGAGTTCTATGTTTATTTCTTTGGATTGCAGTAGGTATACCTCAAATTGTTGAGAATTTTCGAACAGGGATTGCAGACAAAGCTCTTTCTCCTAGTTTTCTTTGCTTTTGGACTTTCGGTGATGTCTGTAACCTGATAGGTTGTTTTTTAACACATCAACTGATTATGCAGGTCCGTTCAGCTAGTTTTATGATATTTAAAATCCAATGTAGTCTACGTATACTATGCAAATGTAAACTGTATAAATCTCTTTCTCATAAATGTACTATTTGGTCTAGAATCTACTGATTTTATAAATTTAAGTACTGGTTTACAGTTTGTTAAATATTCTGATTCTTAACGACTACTTTTGTTACATCCATACGAGGGTTTTCATTTTGTTAATAAATAGTAGATCGATGTTCAGTGAACCTTGCTTCATATCCCAGAGTCATACTCCTAAACTCTTCTCTGCCTTGTACATGAACTTTCATGTGTCAATAATTACCACAACCTGATGGCTGATAAGTTTATATATTCATTGAACAGTCTGCGTAATATTGATAAGTTTTAGCACAAAATAAAGCAATTAACTAGTGCTACCTAGTTTTAGAACTTTGATGTTTAATCGCTTATCCTCTATCTTTTGAATTACTGTTGTACCTTCAGTCAGTCAGTCAGTAACAACGTAGAACTTTGTACGTACGTACATCAGTTCGAGTTGCCACACCATATTAGCACAGAGATGCAGTGGTTGATTCAAATCCCGTAGTGCTAGATGTGGTAAAATTATAAGCTGTAATCAGAAAAATTAGGGTTTGAAGATGTTATTCAAGGAGTATAATCCAGTGAAATAAATTTGGAAATAATACCATTGAGGAAGTCTGGTAGTATCGTTGGCCCTCGGGTTACAATGTAGCTTACACGTCAGTTTATGGGCCTGGGGTTCTTTTTAACCGCCAATGATGTGTCATAATTATGCGACTGTAAACCTAAAGAAAGGTAATCACCAATTTTATACTAAATATCATGGCAAAAAGTTGTTTTGTTTTTGTCCTGTTCTAGAGATTTCGATGAGTAGAGTATATCCGATATCAATCTTTTGAACTAAAGCGTTCAAGCTATGGAGAAAAATAATAATAACTCTACAGATTTCTTGGTTCTTACGCGAAAAAAAAAATAGTGTTTTATCGTCTAACAAATTGCGATTGTGTTTTTAATATTGTTTTAAAATTGTGCGAAATGTATCAGTAGGTAGTTGCGTAACTGTTCATAGGGTGATATTTAGTCCCGCTGTATCTGACTTGAACTTCATTAACTAATAAAAGATATTAGTGCTTAATGAATGACCAACATACCGTTCTCCTATCGGGCTCTGAAAAGTTTGTTCTATTTTCGACTTATATTCCTTTTTGCTTTAATTTTAATGTACAATTTAAGGATTGCAAATTGCTTACACTTTACAGATTGTTGTGACAGGGTACTGTATTGTTAGTGACTTCGTCCTTGTGTTCCAATTCATCTATTACAAACATCGTCATAAGGCTATCTTACGTCGTAAGTTCAGTGTGACTGGGTTATTGGAAGTTTTCTTTTTTCTGTGCATGATTCACATAAACTTTTGATTTGTCAATTTGCATGATGAAATGTACACAAACATATGTTTTCTTTATTCACATTATATTTGCGTTTATTACTTGATTGTTTAGAAAGATTCTTACGGTGATAAATACCATATTCATCCTTTATTGTATCTTAACAGTTCGTCAGCACCTATTCACTTATAGATAAGGGAGAATACAATATCACTTTGGGCGGTATAGTATGTGAAGATGGAGACTGGTGAGAGGGGATTTAACAGCAACCCAGTGTAGGCATGAAGATGGAAAATGGTATATTTGTTTGACTCTGTACCTCCAGCTGGTATAGTCCGTTAAAAATAATAAATTCAACAAGATATGCTATTTATTCTCTGAATTTATCTGTAGCGACTAAGCTAGTAGAAACACTCATTAATTAATCACTGTTTCGAATCTCATTGTGATCTTAACTTATTTGAATATCAATCTTAACTGCCTAAGTAATATCAAGGTAGTAACTGTTAAACCATAGTAACACCTTTTCATGCTTAATTGATCAATATGTTTTGTTTGAACGTGTATAAGGTTGACAGGAATTATTTTATGGTTAAATATATATGTTAAATTTGCTTCCTGTTTATCGTAAAGATATATTTTTCATTAGAAAGAAATTTGTCTAATTATGTTTTATCTGATGTGTCATGCAGAAATAAGATTCGCTATTCTTTTTATTATACTCTAATGAAACTAAGCTTTTCAACTAATAATTATATTTGGGAAAAATATCAGTCATTACCACTGAGGAATGGCAGGATTATTTTGTACGAAATCATATATTGGTATGGTTACAGGTTTACAAAGGCTTACTGTTTTACAAAAATTCAGCCTAGGTCTGTGATTATTTCAATATGCCAAAAATTGATTTTTAAGCCTTTAATTCGTCGAGAAAATAGTTTAATTAGATAGTTTAGTATTGGCTACAACTCAATGTTAACGTATTTATTTTAGTCCTAATGAGTGGTTGTCTCAGCTTGAGACAAGATTGTTGAATTTGGTGTCAGCTCAGATCGTTGTGATGTCGTGAGTTCTGTTTTATTTATATAACATACTTCAGCGGCTGACCTCAGCATGCACTACACTTAACTGTCGATTACCACCAACCGTCTACAATTAGTTACTGCTAACAGTTTTATATGTTCTTATTAACTATTCGAAAGGCTTTTATCTGGAAAATCTTGTCGTATTGAGATGATTTTATGCAATTATGCAAAATTTTTAGTACGCGATCAAAACTGGTGTTCATCAAAGTAAAATTAAGAGTTTAAACAATAGGTATATGAGTCATGTAACTTTTTAGTCTGTCTGAGTTTTCGATAAAGGCATGATTTTTATGAGTACTCACCAAGGTTAGACAATAACATAAGGTGAGATTAGTTTATGGACGACCTTTGGGCGACGCTAAAGTGACCTTAAGAATACCTACCTACTAATTAGAATCACATGTGGGTTATAATACGGTGTGGGAAATTAGAATTATGATTTACAATTGATGGTTAGGGTTATGAACTAGATTTAGGATTTTCGCCACGAACTGACATAAGCTAAAATGCCAAAAGGCTATTTAGCCAAATGGATGAATAAATTTCGTGCCAAAATTCAACACCTGTTGTCTTATATCTGATTGGTTCATCCATAAATTATAATCTCTTCACTCTTATTAAACATGAATATACGTAGTTTCTCAAAGCTGTATCGAGAGCATAAACAGTTATAAGACATAGTAGTCAAACTAATGGTTAGTTTTACTGAAAATTGTATATTTAGGCATCTAAATTAACTTTTGTAAATGAATACTCTTTTTCTTATTTCCATGAACAGTCGCTTAAAATCTCAAACTAAATTAATATTAATTGTTGAATAAATCTAATTTTCCTGCATAGAAATGCGCGTTGAACAATCCACACTTTTGATACTAATTAACAAAGCAGAAGAAAATAACAGGGAAACAAAAAAACAAAGATGACAGTTCTCACACTTTGATCGTTTCCAAGCCCATGAATTGTCTCTATGGCTATTCTCTTATCCATTCGCATTTCAATTTTTTCTCCATTGCCATATCAACTTCATGATGTTGCACAACATTTTATCTAGTTAGTGTTCAACAGTTACTGCATATATACACCAATCCTCCATAAAATTACTTTTTTGTTTCAGGAATGGCTACAGCTTTAAAAGATGGTGAAGTATCTTCGAACTCAAGCTCTTCTTCTCCCATTATTTGTGACGAATCGGAACAACATAATTCACATCAAGGATATCAAAGACTTTCAGTTGGTTTAGTTGGTGCAGGATGTTTAACTTTGATGGGCATTTCTTTAACTTCTATCGAGAATCCGTTTAATACTTATGTTATTAAACAATCAGTATCCAGTGGTTTACACTACCAATCAAGACAGTTATTGGAGTGGAAACAATATGAATCAACAGATCATCCATTCATAAATTCAGATCCTTTAAATGTAAGTTTTTAACTTGAACATTATGGTTTTCCGGTCATATATAATAACATTATCCAATCTTTTAGATAGCTTTTTCAAAACAGGAGATTAGCTTGTTGGGAGGAAATGGATTATCATCTTTAAGATGATGAACAGCACATATACTTTGTTCTTAATGATCATTTAGCTTTCTCATGTTCTTAGTTTGCGTTTTTCATATTCTAAGAAAGGTATTTGTTGGCGATCATTTAGCTACGAAGTTCAACAAATAAATTACTTGTGCTTGACAAAAGATCTCACGTGACCTAGTTTTTTTTCTTACTTGTTCACCTCACCGATAATGTAAGCAGAATGGTACGACGTGGGTAGAAGCAGCTAAAGTGGCTTCGTATCGATCCAAAATCACTTAGACTAGTGGGTACATTGCAACCTGATCGATAAAATTCGATCATCACGTTGGGCTGGGTAAACATGAATTTGCTTACTTTCCTGTGGCTAATCAATGCAGAATGATGCCAATGTTTATTTGTGTGTAATGCATTCATAAGAAATGTGAGATAAAATGTTTCAGCACGGTTTTAGATTTGCACGTAAATGTACGATAAAAGCAGTTACTTTTGCTCCTATAGTCTGGTGACTATAACCTTTCGACAAGAATACAGAAATGCTAGTCAGGGTTTCTCAACTATAGTGATAGTTTTCATCACAAATAGTGAAATCAACTGGGAACTACTTAAAACCATAGAACATCGGACAGCTGTTTGGTCCCAGTTTGAAACTCCTCAACAGCATGTGTGTATAAAATCATTCAGAAGAAATCTCAAAGAACTTCAGTTCTTCTGACCAGTATACAGCTTTTAGACTACCTTGATCAAATGTGACTAACAAGATATCCAAATGTTTGTCGAAGGAGAAAAACCTCATAAAAGTGTGTCTTATTTTCTGCGACATATGTTCAAAAAATAAATGCTATATGTATTTAAATTGTTCACATTTATTTTGAGAACACAGTTTCCGTAAACATAAGAAGCTAAAAAGGTGACAGTTGTTAAAGTCCAGCTACAGATCTGTTCGGCAAACCAAGGTATAGTAATAGAATACAGTGATTGAGGCTAAGATTAGTTTGCCGCTCAATCATACTTCAGTAATTCGATAAGGATCTACTATTCCCTATAATCCCATCCTCGTTAAGATTTTGAGTGTTTCCTTTTGGAAATTTCTTCATCAAAACGAACCCCCTCTACATTGCTACTTAATTTATTTCGGTGGTTATCCGTTTCATATTAATCCGGTACCATCAAAATAAACTTTTAAAAAGGAAATAAAACCTTTGCTCATATAAGTGTTTGTTGTTAAATTTTGTACCTGTTACAGGCGTTATTATTTTGCAATACTGATCTCATTCCTAAGTTTATTGTCGCAAAACTCTATTGATGATTTAGAATTTTGTACTTGAGAATCGTACAAAAAAGTATTATTTTTTTAGTACACTTACATAATGAATAATAATCTTAAAGGTTATATCATTCATCAAACCTGATTTCAGTTTTGAATTTTTTGTTTTATTCAAAATAGGGTGGTACAATTATATTGGGATATATTCTTGGGTGGATTTCCACATCCATGTACCTGTTCTCTCGATTGCCACAATTATTTCGCAATGTACGTTTAATTTGAGCTTTTTTAACAAATCTATGTAAAATTATGTTACGTGAATACAACCATTAGCTAATAATTAATGTATGTAGGCTGAAGGACCCAACTGTTATTCTGGAGGAATGACAATAAACGAAGTTGTACCTGGTTAGTTTAAGCATTCGACTTTCAATCACCGGGTCAAATTCGACATATTTTGCTTTAGGCACTCAGGTAATACTTTTAGTTCTAATTTAAGAAACTATTCCACAGCCCAGTGCTCAAACATAGTGAACTATGTAACAGAATAAGTGACTTTGACTAGTATAAAGTTTGAATCAGTGACTTATAAACAATTTGTTTGGTGTCACGTTAATCAAGCCATATAACCTGAAAACTAACGAAGTACAATTCAGTTTGATTTTATTATAATCCATCTTTTAAAGGGGACATTGAATATACTCCAATGCCATTGAATTAATTTCGATTATAATCCAATTACCCTCTCTCTCATCTTTAACCACCATAATTGAAAGTAATGAGAAATATACAAATATGTAAAGTTGTATTGTAAAATGATCCGAAGTACTAGATACGTTGCACTCAGTGAAAATTAAAAAATTTTGTGGGTAAACTCCGCTGTTGTATACAAACCTGTGCTTCTTAACTGCCGTACATTATGCAAAATGGAATTCGATTTCTTCATTCTTCTTCTTGCTTATCTATACCTTCTGGCTTTCTGTCCCCTTCTTCCTAACCTCTTACTTAGTCTGAAGAGATTTTTTTATATTATCTTTTCGAAGTATACCAACTTGGATAAGTGCACCTCTATTTATAAAGTTTTTACTTTATATTCCCTCCTTTCTCAGTAATCTCTCTTATAGATGTAAACGAATATAAACACTGAAACATTCTTTTGGATAATTTTAATCTTAGTATATTTCCTGTCTTATAACATCTTTCAGTATTAGTGAATATAAAGAACAATAGATTGACTGCATCTGCTACATTGTGTTTTTATATATGATTGAGTATTTAGTCTCAAACTGTTCGTTCGAAGTCATTTAATCAAACGTTTTAAATAGATTTATGTTAACCAGTTAATAACAATAATAATAAACAGATTGTAGAACATTTTGTTGATACAACTTTCTGCAAACTAATTTTTCTGTCCAAGTGGAAACGTAAATCAACTGAAGGACTGTCTATATTCATGTTTTCTATGGCTGTTACTGGGAATATTTCATATGGTATTCAAATTTTACTTACATCTACTGAAAAAAACTACTTAATCCGAGCTACACCGTGGCTTGTTGGAAGTTTCGGTGTAGTTTTGCTAGATATTTTTGTAAGTTCATATGTTTTAATTATTAACTATTATGCTTAATTCTTTAATACTTCATAACTATATTCTACGGCTTCAGACTTGATTGTGTTTGTTTTTATCCCGTGAAATTAAACTCCGAAAATTCTCTCAATTCTAGTAAGAAACCATGACCTGTAGAGCTCGACCATGTTAGGAGTGACGCAGTTACCAAAATTGATACTGGATGTTTGTTTACATTAGCAAAATAATGTCTACTTTAAATGATTCTACTTGATTTATCATCGATAATATTCAGAAAGATTTAACAGAGACGACTGAGAAGCGTCTTTTAAAAAAATTGAGAGAACTCCTGAAGAAAAATCGAATTGATGATCATACATACAATCAACTCAAACCAAAAGGATCACAATTACCATACTTATACGACCTACCCAAAACTCACAAACCTGACATCCCGATAAGACCATTATTATCCATGACTAATATACCCTTCCATAAACTCGCCCGCTGGTTGCCAAGGTGATTAGAACCAATCCGAAAGAAACTAGCACCCTATAGTTTAAAAGACAGTTTTGAATTTGCACAAAAGCTTGACAACCTAAATGCTTCTGATAAATTTATGGTCTCATTTGAGGTCTCATCGCTCTTCACAAACATCCTCTTGGAAGAATCAGTAGAGATCATATGTGAATATCCTGAACTTCTACCTCTACCGATCCATGAATTTAAACAGCTCCTGTTTTCGTGTACTAAAAACATACAATTTCAATTCAATAGTGTCTTTTACCGCCGAATTGATGGAGTAGCCATGGGTAGCCCTTTGGGCCCAATTCTGGTCGACATATTTATGGGAAACCTGGAACAAAAAAAGCTTAAGCACGCAATCGATAGTACTACACTCCAGTGTAGATATATTGATGACACATTTCTCGTCTGCAACAATCACAAGCACGCCATTAGACTACTCGATCTGTTTAATGAAGCTCACAAGGATATAGAATTTACAATGGAACAGGAAGTTGAAGGCGAATCCCATTTCCTAGATATTAGGATCAGACGAACATATGATGGCACATTACATAGACACATTCATCACAAAAATACTTGGAGTGGAGTATATCTCAATTGTTATAGTTTCTGTCCATTGAGTTACAAAAAGGGTATTGTACGAACCCTTTTTGACCGCGCACGTAAAATTTGTTCAAACGAATGCCTGGATGACAAGATTGCTCTCATCACTAATTGTCTACGTGAAAATGCATATCCGGTAAAATTCATCTATAAATATGCAAAAACCAATCCTCGGGCAAAGTATGATAGAGTAGGAAAGAAAACTTGCTTCTTATATTTACGTTTCAAAGGAGACGAAATTGCTGGATTAATTAATCACAGATTAAATTCCGCGTTGAAAGTGGCCTACCCAGCAGCAAAACTGACGACAGTATGGGAAACGAACTGCTCACTCAAACAAACTAAAATCGACAAGTCCTCTTTTCTCAGTAGCTCCAACTGCATTTACCAATCCACATATACGTGCCAAAGCACATACATTCGAAGAACTGAGAGAAGAGTGCATGTTCGCATTTCTCAACATGTTCCAAAGAACTTGAGGCTGCGAGGGACTAAGGCTCTCAACAGTGCAATAGCCCGGCATTTACTTGACACGGGGCATACCATCGACATTCCGCATGCTTTTAAAATTATCAACAGACAAAGAAGTACAACTGCTCTCCGTTTCGCTGAAACAATCGTGATAAAAAATTAAGCCGGATTTATATATTCAATAAGAGACATTAATAAACTTATTATTACCCTGGTAGTCCAATTTTTTTTGTTATTTGGGTTATTTTATTCATTTCTTTATTTTAAAATATTTGTTCTGTGTTATATTTCTCCCTCATTACCTAATTTTTAAACCAACCTTTCATTCACACATTTCCGCCAACTGATCCTTTTAAATTATGTCGACTTTTCAAATTCTATTTAATTATTACGTAACCTATCTTATCACTGTTTTAATTCCATGAATCCTTCATTACCTCTAAAATTATCACACAATTTATGAACTCCACTCAACTATTACACCACCCATCCTGAATTGTTTCCTTATTTCTAACACCAATTAACATCTGACCTGTTCTTGTATATATATATATAGTTATTATTGTAAACCTTTGTCATTCCAGTTGTTTACATTCATTTATGTCAATTGTTTCACACTATTTCTTATCTCAATGTAAAATTCTATTATATATTTGGTTGTAAGCAGCTGATGAGAAACCTCGAAATATTATGAATTCATACTATTCTGCATCAATATTTGTTCTTGCTTTATTTAAAAAGGAAATTCGTTAACTCAACATACCGAGATACTAGATACCGGGATGCTTAAACAAAATCTCCACGGTTGCTAGAATGTTTTCCTGTTTGACCATCAATGATGAAATGGTGCGGAATTACACTAGAAATTACGGAATTGATATATGATAGATGAAGAATTTTTATAGCAGCTAAACTTGTAGAAATCTTTCTCAATTGAATATGGGTTGCAGATACTGAATAGTGAAAAATATTTGAAAAGCACACATAATTACAATTCGATTGTATGTTAAAGAGAGACCTGGTGCAATACTGCGTAATTGGTGTTGCGAATCTCGTACTGTTACAAAATTTACAGTATAAAATAAACCAAATAATTGGGATGACATGCTTTAATTCAATGTTAAACATCTTTTCTTAATATTATGGTGTACACTACTTATGCCGACAGACACAAATAATATATAGCAGGAATTGGAAGTAGAATGCTTACCACCAAAAAATGAAGTAAAGAGAAGGGAAAGGAAAACGAAGAGCGGTCAGAATAACAACAGGACAGGAAGAATGATGAAGTATGTAAAGGATAACTGAAGGATGATATATATATGATATAGTTGATGTATGATTTTCATATGTTACAAACACATCAAACAGTAAATTGGTTTTCTCTATCATATCTTCGTTGATTACAGTGTCAGTTGTTTTATTTTTAATCCAGCGTTATGTTTGCTCAACATACTATTCTTTTGTACTAATTCCTTGTGATATTTGTTCAATATGACATTCATAGTTAGTTTGTATTATTTCAGTGTGATATTTGCTTATTATATTAATGATCATTTGTGTAATTCCAATGTAAAATCCGTTTGTATTACCACTATTTCAACTATATATGATATCCGTTGACTAATCATTGAATGCGAGTAAAATTCGTACATAAATGAATGTATTTGGTTGTCGTCATGTTTTGGGAGGTGAATAAGACCTGTATCTGCTATTAGTTTTATCTTCTTCTTTGCTTTCACAAATTTCAATTCTTTCTGTTTCAAGTGTCAGTTTTCGCATTTATACTACAAATATTAATACAATTCTATCATGTACATTTACAACCTCGATTAAATTCATGCTATCTCATAGATTTTATGCATTTAAAATGCTAATAAATTTTTATATGCATATATTGATTCAGTTTTTCTTAATCAAAGAAATTAGTAATTATATAAGAATTTTACTTATTTATTTCAGATGTTATGTCAATTCTTCTTTTATCAATTACATCAACACGGAAATAATAATGACAGTAATAATCAGGATCAAAGGAATTTATTAGATACAAACCCCAATCAAACTGAAACAGTTTAAGATTATTCTTTTTCACCATATGATTGTAAAATGTTATTTTCAATGTTTGTTCATTTTTGCTACAGTTTCAAGTATTTTAATCCATAGCTTCGCATTCTTCCTGTAACTTGTTATATATATATATATATATTAATTGAGATCATCAATCTCCACAACCCTATACACTGATAAATACATATTTACTTAATAAGAGAAATTTAGCCACTTTGTTTGTTTGTTCGTCTGTTATTTCCTTATATTCACTTTTATTTGTTTGTACAGAATAGTTTGTATTTGATTATCCTACTGGTTTCGTTTTATTTGTTCTTCTCTTTACATTTGATTTCAACTTCGTATTATTTCGATAAATAACTTTGTTACTATTTTTTATTATCATGATTTTAATAATTTTAAAATGTTGACTTATCCATATATGTATTGAATATAAGATACGTGTAATTACTTTTCTTTCTGTTTATATATATGTGTGCAAGCGCTTGGTGATGTTACTGATGAATATTTGTTATTTAATTATCATTTAACCGGATGATTTGTTTCTATAGTTATAGAGTGAATTAGTATTGTAAAGTTGTCATACTTGTCATGAAACCTGGAGACCGTAAATGTAATCCCGTTTAGTATCGTTTTGTGGGTTAACAAGAAGTTTTATACCAGAGTGAAACAACTGTACAGTAATCCATGTTTTCCAATCAGTCAGTCATTCATCTACAACGTAGGATCAGGCACATGTGTATCAGTGCAAGTTGCCTTACCTCATTAGCACAACAAGATGAACACTGGATTCATAGAAGTAGTGGTGGCAATATATAAAAGAAAGATTGCATATAAGGGCGTAGTACAGGAAAAAATAATTAGTTCGTAGAAAGAAAGATATGCAGCAATTTTAATCTCTTAGTTTAAGGGAAGACAAAGAGTGTATACACCGGCGCCATTGTGATCGATTCTGAGCCATGTCACCAAGAATCTCCAACCATTGGTTACGATAGTCACGTGGACCCCAACCAAGTAGTCTGCATCTACCAACACAGCTCAGATTAGAAGTTAATGACTTCAAGGACTGATGCCTTGTTTTGGTTTGGCCGCCCCTAACTTTCCTCCAACCATCCCAACATCAGTTAGTATTGCGCGTCGTGGTAATCGGTGTTCAGGTATACGCAACACGTAGCCCAACCATCTCAGTCGATGAAGATTCACAACCTCATCAACTGATTTACCATCATTCCCTAATACCCTGCGTCGAACCTCACTATTACTTACCCGGTGATCCCACATGTTTTCCAATGGTTTTCCGGATGATGGCACTTTAATTAAAACTTTATTATTTGAAGTATCTTTCCTTTTAAAAATAGTAATCTGAAGATTCCGTTATTTCTGGTAAAGGAAAATATAAATTATTTATGATAGGTTGTTTATGTTTAGGTGTATGTGTGTTCGTTCCACATCACATTTCCTTTAAATATCATATCTTCATGGCAAACTTATTAGCTTGTTTTTTAATCTATTTGACGTTACCACAGTCCATTTATTAATGACATCATGTGTAGGGAGATCTACAAAACTCATTGGACAAATATGTTTAGTATCAATCACTTTCCAGGCACTCTCTTATTGTTATTTTTATTATATTTGATGTATTTTCTAATTCACATGTTTAATAACCGAAATGTAAGTAATTAATGCAAAAATCCTGTTTAGTGAAATAAAAGGATTTATTGGAGCTGTTTATTTCTTAACTTGGTTGATAGAGCATTGATTTCTCTTCATGTAACGCTTCAGGATATAAATGAGTATTACAAGAAAGCCATGCATTATATATATGGTAGCTACCAGTCTATCCAATTACATATTTATCACCTGTCTTACAATAATACTCATTTAATAACGGCAAGCTATGAAATTAGCAATCATACTTCTGTTTCATTTCAGACAGTTTATTTATATAGTAAGATCAAATCATTTAACTTAACTGATTTCTCATAAGACTTTTATTCACGCATCGAATATTTTAGGTTACTATGTATAATAATCACAGTCAGCTGAGTGTTACATTGTCTAATCTACGTTTTTAAATTTCTGATTTATCCTGGTCTATAAGTCTTGTTATACTGCGGATTAACATTAAAGACTGTTTGGAGAAATATTACTTAATGTTTATAAACCAGTATTGTAAATATATCTGAAAGACGTATTTTGGCTTTCTGAATACAAATTTGCACTGTTAGTAAAATAGGGATAACATGTGGTCGGTAAAGTAGATTACAAGATTTTACCACAAGTATTACACTTTCTTATTTCAGTGGCGTATTTACCATTCATTACTTGATCTTTTTCTGGCACAACTGATTAAATCAGTCCGGATTCTAGTTCCTCAATAATCAATAGAATTCATATTCAATATGTATTTATTGAAATGTGCATGTGATGCATAATGAGTATTTAGTATAGATCACTTCATTTGTGTATATGATTTACTAAATCTGTTTTGTATATTTGATTAATAAAAAGAAGTATTCCTATATTTATTTAATTAACGAAATATTGAATAAATACTTGTCACACATCTCAGATTTGGCAATAGTGCAATGTCTTACTTTGTTTGATCATATTAATCGGTTCGATCTGATGGATAGTGATGATGAGTAGTTGCAAATATTCGGCAGAAATTTTCGAATTTAGGTTCTTTATCCAATGGTACTCATATACAACTTCGAGAACCCTATCAATGTTTATGAAATTCTCACATGTATCACTTACCATAGTCGTAATAATTTTTACAACTAAGTCATGTAAATGATGAATGATCTGTGGCATGAATTTTCTTAGTATACCAATCAATCATCTAACATTGACCAATATTGCACGCATGTTTTCAATGTTGTCCGAAGTTTATCAGTCATTTAACACTTGTTAACTTCTTGCAACCTATAATGACATACGTATTCATAATGACTTTTCATCTGAGCGTAGCTTTCAATTGCAATCGACCTACATTTAGAAAGTATTTTGATATTTTTTATTTGTGTAATTGATCATTGATATAATTGATCTTGACACAATGTGTTTGGGACCTAAATTTGTGTGTTTTATTGTTAACTTGCATTTGTTTGTTCATTTTTAAAAATTCTCATCTGCATATTTAACTTTCAGCCTTTGATAGGTTTGAGTACAGTTTTGAGGTATATTGTATCCTACAGGGGATTGTACAGTGCAACGTATATGCGAGAATTTAAAAGAGAGAAGAACAAGAGAATAAAAGTCAGTGGACTACTCAGTAAGCACACAAAATGCACTTAAATTCAATAAGAACGTCAATCAATGACAATAAACAATGACACAAACGTGAAATTAAAGCAATCTGATAATCTATCCTAGAATTTGATAGAATAAGGTTTTAAATGCATTGCACATATACTTAATATATAAACTAGAATAATGAAAGTGAATATATCCTTCTTTTTTTGCTTATACGATCAATTATTATTTAGGCAGTATTAGACGATCATAGTGCTTGTGAGGTATGGCGTAGTCGTGATCGTTTATATTCTTCATTAGTAGCTATATTTCCAGCTGCATTAATTGGTAAACCAGTTACGGTGACACTGTTAGATGAAACACGTATAACTGGACGCTTATGTTCATGTGATGGATTGATGAATTTACAATTGGATAGTGGTGTTATAATAAGAAAACCAGATTCTGACGGGCTAAACGAAGTTATTCTAGTTGAAGTTAGTTTATTTAATTTGATGTGTTTTATTTTTTATGTTTATTTCTGTCCTTCTTGTTTTGTTATAAAAAATAACTTGTTTGTTTGTTTTTAGAAAGAAAGTACTTTTTGTAAAAAACTAGAAATAAATCTCTATCTTACACGTTTGATTAAGTGATAATAATATATAGGTAACAACTATTTAGTGCGTCTAATGATCTCTACAGAGTATTTAAAAACAAGGGGTATTTGAGCGAAGAATTATTTCCAATAACTTCGTCATCGTACTCTACAGCCATAAATCCGTAATTGTTGTATTACAGTCGTCAAAATAAGCCGTACATAAATAAGTGAATTAGATAACGCTATCTTTTACTTATTCGTAAGTGTCTGAATATTCCCTCTGTTGATATCAAGGACGTATTATTGATCGGTCTCTTATTGGTACATGTACATCCAGAGCAGGTTGCCTCGATATTCCCAGTAAGTTACTGATATTTTAGTAAAGGGCAGTTGGGGCTGGCAACAAGATCTATGACGTGCATTTTTTCCTGTTCAGGACTCGTCGGCTGAATGTACCTGGACTCAGTATCTCAGGTTTTAGGAATTTAAAGCGAAAGGTATTGGGTTGGAGTCCCAGTGTTAAACGTCAACACTAGGATGCTGGTGAATCCAGCTGATGATTCTCAAATAAGACTAAATGTCCATCCTGGATTCCATTGCTAGCCTTTGTTCATTTCTACTTAAACAATGTTATATGTTAAAATAGTGAACTTTGCACCAGTTGTGCCTTAAATACTTTCAAATCGTCATTCGTTAATTTGAAGGATCACTCAAGAATTTATTGTAAGGTGTCGAATTAAAATCATAATAAAATAATTAATTGTGTGGTTAAAATGCACAATAAGAAAAATGTTATGTTAACTGAATTGAGATAATTATAATAAAATCGTGTCAATTTATGTAAGTATAAATTGTGTGTTAATACTCAATTCTTTTACATAAAATTAGAGCTGATATAGTTTGCTGATGAAACTTTCACTGTCAATTATTACTATTGAGACAAATCCAGGGGATGTATTTAAATTTATTTATGGATTTCGTCATGTTAAATAGTATCAAAGTGGCATTAAATATGTATTCATTTTTTTATAGTGACATTGTTATACAACACTACGTAAACAACAATGTAGTTGTTGTTCATGACTTTGTAATCAGTTTTCAAGTATTGAGTCACATGTTACAGACTAAATTCGCCTATCAGAGTTTTGGTGGGTAGGTATCACTAAACATTGTGCACCAGTTTGATCCAAGAATTCCAACCATATCACCATTACTGCAGTATTTAGTTACCAGAGAAATCTGAAACCCATTTTATTACCAGATGATGAAGTCATAGTCACACTAATATGGTATATGAATTATCCTTTCTGACTTAATTTATCGTATATTCATATCACTAAAAATATTAAATAAAATATAAAATTGAACTTAATCACACTCTGTTGAAAAGTTTTTCACTACTGGTTTATTTCGAAGGATCGGACAAAAATCTCGTTTTATTATTTTATCCTGATGTCAGAACTTAATACTTTACTGTGATATAGTATATTTCGATACTAAACTGGCTGTAAATCATTTACTGAGGGATTTATGTACTAGACTTTGAGTCGCACTGTTTGCTTTATGACTACTGCCACCTATTCAACAGCTCAAACTGAAGTTGATGGAGAGGTTTTCGAACTTGTAACCTACTGGGTAAAAGCCGACTGTTCTAACCCATAAACTAGCGCTCAATACTACACTTAACGAATGGTTAATCACAACTGATTAGAAATACTAAATTTAGCAAGTTATTTTCATTACAAACTAGCACCAGTTGTAGAATCTTTGAAAGCTGAGGAGCATTGTATAGCTAAACTTACCAGTCTATAACACGGGACTTGATTTTTATGTGAATTTGTGTGTTTACGCCCTATTGATCGGTTCCAGACTAGAATGAAGTAGTCATTCAATACTCCTTGCTTTTCTAAAATTGACATCATTTCGTGCTAAAAAGATTTTCCACCAAGATGCACAAAAATCCCTATTAAACGATTCAACCTCATAGAAATGTTAACCAGTAAATAAAGTTGAGATCTTAATCTCATACCTATCGAAATCATGATTCTGAAAAGTGATGTATCATAATTTATGTATATTAACGAATTATTTCTACAGTTAATAGTGTTTCATGATGCACTGTACATTATTCTTTATTTTAAGTCAGTCAGCCAGTTTAATCTTATTGTTTATTAGTTTTGAATCGGATTGAAGGATTTATTCTGGTGTTTGAATGAACTAATGATACCTTTGTACTTGTTGAATGCTTGATTTCGAATTATGAATACAGTACATTCGTTTGTAGTTATCTAGTATTTCTTGATCCGATTACGTTATTTCTGGGATTCTTAGTTCATACTATAATTCAAATACTTCTAATTATCATATTGGCGTCGCGATGGAGCCTGCGATGGAACAGTTAGATATTCATTCAACTTCTGAAGCTTTTGAGGATTATTTGGAAGGTTTGAAATCTGGAGCATGACCAAGAAAGATGTTAAAGGTGATAAAATTGTGGCACATTTCCTAACACTCATCGGAAGAGAAGCGTATAGCTTATTAAAAACTTTGGCATATCCAGAAAAACCTATCTCACTTCCTCATGCAACTCTTAAGGAGCTATTATTAAGTCATGTAAAGTGCACTAGTCTTGAATGCCGTGAAAGGGCGAAATTTCACAAGATGGTTCGTCGAAATGATCAAAAGGTTAGGGAATTCATCCTTGAATTGCAGAAATAAGCTTCCAAATGTAATTTCGGTGATCAACTTCATGTGCAACTGAAAGATCGATTAATTTCAGGAATTAACATACCGGGTTTGGAAAGAGAGCTGTTAAGAATGCCGAACTGTTCCTTTCAAGATGCTAGGACTGCGTGTATTAACTACGAGGCAGTGAATGAATTTGATATCCAGTCGATGAAGATTTCTAATACTTTGCTTAGTCGTCATGATGAAATACAATCTCAGGGTCAATCAAACTTGCGCTCGTTTAACAGTGATTCCTATTCTCGTGTAAATATGAAAGGTGTTTCAACAAGGAGTCACAAAGCAAATCACAAAGGTGAGATCAAGTTTGGTAAATGTTTATCATGTGGAAAGTTTCATTCTCGTAATTCATGTGCATTTCGTAATGCTAAATGTTTTAAATGTGGTGAGATAGGACACATTCAGTCAGTATGCAAAGCTACTGTCCATTTTGCTTCAAGTAGTACTAAATCTTGTAGTTAAGATCCCACTAATTCAGCTGTTCCTAATGATCATTTATCTTTGTCTACCATTTCGAAAGGTAATGCTCATATTCAAAAGCGGTTATATACATCACTTGGTTCATTTCATGACTTTATTGTGGACACATGCAGTATAGAGTCCATTATTCCATTCAAGAACTTGAAATCTTTAGATCCTAACGTTGTGGTACGACCCACTGAAGTATCAATACTGGGGATTACTGGACACAGACTGCCCATACGAGGATGTTGTGAATCGCTAATATAAGATGATAATTCTTCGTACATACCTTGTGAATCTTTATTTAGCGAAACAGGACTGTCAATACTGGGTTTAAAGAACTTGGAAAGGCTTAAAGTGGAGTTGTCTTTCCTAGTTTCTAAAGAAAACTCTGATGCTTTACTTAAAGATTTGATAGCTACGTGTGCAGTGAAGGTATGAAAATTCAGCCCATAAAACTTCAAGTACAGGGTGATTTAGTCTTTCTTAAAAGACGAATAATTCCTTATGGTCTTCGAGAAGCAGTACATAAGACATTAAACGATTCGTGTGCGAAAGGCATAATTGAACCGATTCAGTCTTCAGCATGGGATACTCCTATCGTTACACCACTGAAGTCGGACGGCAAGACCCCTAGAATATGTGGTGACTATAGATTAACTTGAACTCCCGTTTGTTGAAGCAAACGTGCACGACGGTAGAGGCTGAAGATATTCTAAATCGACTTCATGGTTCTAAAGTGTTCTCGAAAGTTGACCTAAAAGATGCTTATCTTCAAATTCCTTTAGATCAATCTTCATCTATTTTGACGACAATTAACACTCCTTTTGGTCTGTTCAAATACAATTTCCTTCCATTTGGTCTAAGTTTTTCTCCAGCCATATTTCAGGAAGTTATGAATAAAGTAGTTAGTGATCTTGAAAGTGTTGAAGTTTATCAAGATGATCTCATTGTTCATGGTTCTGATAAGGTAGTTCATGAAGAGAGACTTATTGCTTTATTGCGTCGTTTAATTGAGAAGAATATTACAGTGAATCCAAATAAGTGTTCATTTTGTGTATCTAGTTTTGAATGTCTTGGATACCTAGTTGATGGTAATGGTTTTAGACCAGATATGAAACGACTAGCTCCACTGACAAATGCACCGTCTCCAAAAAATCTTACAGAATTACGTTCACTAGTGGGTGCTCTTCAATACTATTCCCGTTTTATTCCTAATTTTTCTTGTCGTGCAAATTGTTTATTTAATATTTTGACATCCAATTCATTCAAATGGGGTGAGGAACAAGAGTCATGCTTACGAAGTCTACTAAAGTTTCTTCAAAGTGATGCTGTTCTTCGAACTTACTCCCCTAGTGTACATTCTGTGCTTATTACTGATGCATCACCTGTGGGTATTGGCGCAGTTTTGGAGCAGGAAGGTAGACCAGTTATTTGTGTTTCACGCAAACTTACTGTTACTGAACAAGGTTATTCACAGACTCAGCGAGAAGCATTAGCTGTGTTTTGGGCTGTTAAAAGACTTCATAAATATTTATTCGGAAAGAAATTCACTATTGTTACTGATCATGAAGCTTTAAAGTTTATTTATCATCCTGAAAAATCCTTAGCACGTTCCTCAGCTGCTATGGTTCAACGATGGAGTATTGCTTTGAGTGCATATGACTATACGGTTCAGCACAGAAGTGCCAA